CTGAATATTCCTTTGTAGTCTACATATTTTTGGATATTGAGTAATTCTAACCTGAACATAATTGTGTGGTCTACATATTCTCGAATATTGAGAAACTCTACCTTGAATATAGCAGTGTGGTCTATATATTGTCGGATATTGAGTAATTCTAATCTGAATATAATAGTGTGGTCTACATATTCTCAGATATTGAGAAATTCTAACCTGAATATAGCATTGTAATCTACATATTTTCAAATATTGAGTATTTTCAAATTCAATATAGCAGTGTGGTCTACGTTTTGTCTAATATTGAGTAATTCTAACCTGATTATAGCATTGTAATCCACATGTTATCTGATGTTGAATAATTCTTATCTCAGTGTAGCCGTGTGGTCTACATATTGTCTGATATTGAATAATTCTTATCTTAATATAGCAGTGTGGTCTACATATTTTAGATATTGAGTAATTCGTATCTGAATATAGCAGTGTGGTCTGCATATTGTCTGATATTCAGTCATTCTAACCTGAATATAATAGTGTGGTCTACATATTCTCAGATATTGAGAAATTCTACCCTGAATATAGCAGTGTGATCTACATATTGTCTGATATTGAGTAACTATAACCTGAGTATAGCAGTGTAATCTACATATTTTCAAATATTGAGTAATTTCAAATTCAATATAGCAGTGTGATCCACATATTTTCAGATATTGAGTAATTCTTACCTGAATATACCATTGTAATCTACATGTTATCTGATATTGAGTAATTCTAACCTGAATATAATAGTGTGGTCTATATATTCTCGGATATTGAGAAATTCTACCCTGAATATAGCAGTGTGGCCTACACATTGTTCAATATTGAGTAATTCTACCCTGAATATTCCTTTGTAGTCTACATATTTTTGGATATTGAGTAATTCTAACCTGAATATAGCAGTGTGATCAACGTATTGTCTGATCTTGAGTAGTTTTAATCTGAATATAGCAGTGTAATCTACATATTTTCAAATATTGAGTAATTTCAAATTCAATATAGCAGTGTGATTCACGTATTTTCAGATATTGAGTAATTCTTACCTGAATATACCATTGTAATCTACATATTCTCAGATATTGAGAAACTACCCTGAATATAGCAGTGTGGTCTACATATTGTCGGTTATTGAGTAATTGTAACCTGAATATAGCAGTGTGGTCTACATATTGTCTGATATATTGAGTAACTCTAACCTGAATATAGCAGTGTGATCAACGTATTGTCTGATCTTGAGTAGTTTTAATCTGAATATAGCAGTGTGGTCTACATATTTTCTGATATTCAGTAATTTTAACCTGAATTTAGCAGTGTGGTCTACATATTGTCTGATCTTGAGTAATTTTAATCTGAATATAGTAGTGTGGTTTACATATTATCAGATGTTGAGGAATATTAATCTGAATATAGCAGTGTGATCTACATATTGTCTGATATTGAGTAACTCTAACCTGAAAATAGCAGTGTAATCTATATATTTTCAAATATTGAGTATTTTCAAATTCAGTATAGCAGT